CACCACTCATGGACACATTACTATGACACACACACACACACACACACACACACACACACACACTAGTTGTTGGTTCGCTGAAGGATACCTGCTGTGAGATCATCCACTGAAACAGAAACACACAAACACAGACACATTACTTCACCATAAATCAGATTACACACCAGCAAACCTCATCAACACACACACACACACACACACACACACACACACACACACACACACACACACACAACAGAGCCTCTTTAACACACTCACTATAGCTACAATAATTCACATCATTGAGACAGCAGCTGCACTGAGCGGTCATTATGAGTAATCGATCACGGTAAAGTTATTGATCACAGTAATATTGATAACGCTGTTCCGAAGTGCGGCCTAGTGGCTGGGCCGCAGCCTCGGCGTTTCCTGCGCGCCTCACCGCTTTCTCGAGGTGCGTGCGGGCCAACTCGCTGTTCTTCGTGTGGTGGTAGAGCACCGAGCCCAGCTGCAGATGCGTGCGGGCCTCCACCCTCTGCGGCGGCTTGAACTGGAAGACGGCCTGCAGGCAGTGCACGCACAGGCGGATTTTAGGAGGACTGGAGGTTCGGAAATGTTCGGCGAAACCGAGCAGCGCCAGGTACCAGGAATCCGGGGCCTCCGCGCCAGCCGCCATCATCACCACAACAACAACAATACGAGACTCTCGCGAGAACACGGCGGCGCACGAGAGTTTGGCTTCGCGGCACTGCCCTGAGCTCCTCAGAGTCTCGCGAGAGTTCCGAGATTCATTCATTCATTTTCCTTCAGTTCAGGGGTGTCCAAACTCGGTGCTGGAGGGCCGCTGTCCTGCAGATTTAGCTCCAGCTGCCTCAACACTCCTGCGAGGATGTTTCTAGAAAGCCTAGCAAGAGCTTGATTAGCTAGCCCAGCCTCCAGGACTGAGTGTGGACATGTCTGGCTTAGTTCTTTATTCATCGGGGATCGCCACAGCGGAATGAACCACCAACAATTCCAGCATATGTTTTACACAGCCCTTTCGGCTCCAACCCAGTACTGGGAAACACCCATACACACTCATACACTACAGCCAGTGTAGTTGATCAGTTCCCCTATAGCGCATGTGTTTGGACTGTGGGGGAAACCGGAGCACCCGGAGGAAACCCACACCAACACGGGGAGAACATGCAAACTCCACACAGAAACACCAACTGACCCAGCCGAGACTCAAACCAGAGACCTTCCTATGAGCAGGGGCAAGATAAGCGGTCGCTTAGGGCCTCAGGAAATCTGAGGGCTCCCAATTAAATACCTACAAGTATAAATGAAAGCTGTAACGTATATATAAGATCAATTCTGTCATATTTAACATGGGGAGTGTCTAAAAATAAGAGTTTAATGTTTATTACATCTGCACAAATGCACCCCCACCCCCAATCATGGAGAAGTCCAGCAGCCGAGGTAAAGATTCAGTTTAAACACACAATATTTCACATTTAATTGTTAGCTGTGAATTAGTTTCAGGAAAACAAAAGATTTTAAAAGTTTGACAAGAGGCTTTACATGCTGTTATTATCATCTTAAGACCAAATGTAGAAGAGGAGTGACTGATATAAGACAATAATACTGCAAAATAAAGCAACTCAAAATACATGACATCAGGAACTGTGCATTTCAGAACTTTCATCCCTAATTCACTAAACCCGGCCCGGCTGAGGCCGCTCACTCAGAGATGCAGTGATCTATTCATATTGAGTGAGAGTAACGTCTCCAACTCTGATTATTTAATAATGGATGAAACATTTAAGCAGGGGCGCAACTGCACATTTGCTGATGGGTATGCAGCTTCAACTTTTGCGCGCCCCCCTTCAATCCAACTATATTTCATAACAGGCAAGTGATAAAATGTGTAAAATATTTCCATCAATAAAGATATTTTTTCATAAAGATATTAATATGCTTCAAAACACAGTTTCGCAGTTCTGAACACAACTGAAATAGTATGAAGTAAAAGGTATAATTACATTAAGCATGTTAAGTCGCAAAGAAATGCATCTCATACCACCCCAAATTTCTTCTCAATTTAATTTTCCCTCACTAAATGATTATATCACCTTGACTAGCCTTGCTTTTGGACTTTTTGGACTACATTTGTCAAAACAAAATGATAGACATGAGAGTCCTAAAGGGCAAAAGAACATTGCAATTACTTCTCACATGCATACTGAAGTGTAAGGTCTGTCTTTGCAAGAACAATTGACTGAAACTGCTAAAAGTGAAATAAAAAAGACTGTCAAATGTTTAGTGTAAAAAAAAAACAGAAACAAACAAATGTTCTATTTAATTGAAATGTTATAACTTTGTTTGTAGATAAAATTAAAATAGTTTTGAGTTAAGAAGTTACCAAAAGGCCTGATGAATCAATATGATACACAATAAATTCATAAAAACATGTATATGGTATAAAAAAATGTGGGTGGGGGGATAAATGATTTTTAATTTAATAAAATACAATATTATACGCGTATAAAATGCTAAATAAACATTTTTAACATATATATACACATATACATATATATATATATTAAACTTTTAATATGGATAATTTAAAAAATAGTTTTGGCACAATGGCGAACCCCATGTGTGGCGCCCCTATGCGCCGCATATACTGCATACCCCCTTTTTGCGCCACTGCCTTTAAGTACAGAGCACTGAGACATATTAAATAATCTGACACAGTCAGGGCTGGATTTACTGATTTACACTCTTAACATGTGTAGCGGAGGTCAGCTAGTGAGTGCTGTGCAGGTAAACTCACTCCTCTGACCTCTAAAGGTGCTCTAGCGACAGACACTAGAGGTCATGGTCTTTAGCCTCCTTGGTCGAGCACCTGACTCCCATGCCGAAGGTCACCGGTTTGATCCCAGCTCAGAGCGGGTTGGGTGAAGTGAGACCTGTGGGGTTACACATGCAGCTTCTGTACTTTTATTTACTTTCTATTTGTTTACACTGGTGTCTTCTCTTCTGTTCGACTCGTTTAAAACTGGTAATGATAAGTAAACGGTTTGGTTTCTCCCGATGAGACCTCGTCACATGTGGCTGCTGGACTGCTCCACGATGGTGGACCAACTTGCATAGATATAATAAATATGTAAATATTAAACGGTCAGATCCTCACTGTTCAAAACAAAGTTATATATAACTGATATAATTCATATTTCTATGTATTTTTGGGGCCTCCAGATTTCTTGAGCCCCAAGCGACCATTTACACCACTTACTGAGTAAACCGGCCCCTGGCCTGCGTATACTGTAGTGTTGATGGTAAAGTGCATGAGGAGAGCTCCAACACACGCACGCACGCACGCACGCACACACACACACACACGCACACACACACGCACACACACACGCACACACACACGCACAAAGAGAGAGAGACTGTGGGTCTGTGTATTAGAGTTTATTATGGTCACTGAAGGTGTGGTGTTGAATCAGAGCATTGAAAACAGCTCAACATCAAGTGTGTGTGTGTGTGTGTGTGTGTGTGTGAGTAACTCCAGCCTGACGTTCAGATGAACACACAGCAGACAGGACAGACTCCAGCAGGTTTACAGTCTAAAATAAACGTCAGACAATCATCAGAATATGACAGAAACAGAACCGGGCTGTGCTGATCCACTGGCGGGGGGAGAGGGGGGATTACTCTCTCAGATACAGCTCATTACTGTAATGATGAGGAGGAGGAGGAGGAGGAGGAGGAGGAGGAGGAGGAGGACTCCTGCGCTGGAGTGTTCAGTAGTACGGCCTTCTGGGATTGTTCTGCACACAAACAGAAGAGAAACGACACGGTCATGATGAATCAGACTCAGAGCTACACACACACACACACACACACACAGAGACACACACACACGCAGACACACACACGCACGCACGCACACACACACACACACACACACACACACACGCACATGCACGCACACACAGACAGACAGACCGACAGACAGACCGACAGACACACGCGCAGACACACACACACACACACACACACACACACACACACACACACACACACACACACACACACACACACACACACACACACACACACAGACAGACAGACAGACACACACAGAAACACAAACAAACAAACAAACAAACAAACACACACACACACAAACAAACAAACACACACAGACACACAAACAAACAAACACACACACAGACACACAAACAAATACACACACACACACACACACAAACACAGACACACACACACACACACACACAGACAGACAGACACAGACAGACACACACACTCACACACAAACAAACAAACAAACACACACACACACACAAACAAATACACACACACACACACACACACAAACACACACACACACACACACACACACACACACACACACAGACACACACACTGTGCATTTACACCGCGGCCATGTTCATCATGTACACACACCAAAACATGACAGCAGACAGTGCACACCGCTCATCACACACACCAGACTCTTCTGACAGGGGACTCAGGTGTGAAGGTGTGCTGTGGGGACTCAGTGCAGGACTCATTACTGTGGATTATAGATCGCCTAATTCAGTGCTCAGTATATCAGTTTTAAAGCATGATGGTAAGATTAGCGGTTGTCGATATATTTCAACATGTGCTTCTTTGTTGTAAAAACTCTTAATAATAAATCCTCATTCGAGCGTCTCCTGATGTGTGTGTGCAGCCATGCTGCTGCTGGGGCTGGTGTATTCTGGTGTATTTCTCACCCCTTGCTTTCAAGTGTGCTCCTGGAAAATCTCTGTTTCAAGGGGTATCTAGTCCTTCCTCTGAGCCCTTCAAGATGAAGAGAATTGGGACACCCCAAACACACGTCATGCGGACACGCGAAACCAGGGGTAAGGGGAGAGCGAAGGGGAGAACTGCCACTGGGCTTTAGTGAGTGTGTGTGTGTGTGTGTGTGTGTGTGTGTGTTCAGACTAGCGCTGCACGATTCT